TTGCAACACAAGCAATCATCATCAGGTACGAATGAATGAGAAAAACAAACCTAGTAAACTTAGAAATGTAATGCAATGCAACACAGATGGTCGGCTAACATAACAGTCAACACCCTACCTGGTTGATTATGTTCTTCCAAAGATTGCTAAATTTGAGAGAGAGAGAGAGAAAACACAGACACGTGTGCCTATGTGTGTCTCTCTCTGTGTGTCTCTCTCTGTCTCTCTCTGTGTCTCTGTGTTGTCTCTCTCTGCTTATGTGTCTGTCTATGTATCTCCGGTTCTGTGTTTTGTCTCAAAAGACGCCTTTTGGCGTCATCTGGTCGAGCACCAATTGGGTCGAGGCTCAAAAGAAAGCCGTCCCTTGGTGTGGATCAATCAGTTTCAAAGACAATGCATATATTATCATAGTGTGTTTTTTGTTTGTATTTTGACTGCAGGTATTGTGGTTAATGCAGACATGAATCCTTGTAAAAAGGTTTCAGTTTTGTTGCCAGAAAAAAGGAAAAAACCCTTATTATTATATTAGTTTGTTATTACAAAAATTATCAATTTTCTCCAAAATTCTAACAGCACCGCTTTTGATGAAATTAAAGTGCGTCCCAATTTTTGTACATTATCTTTTTGTGTTGCACACAATTATACATTTAAGCATTTGCTACCACTGCCAATAAGTCACAAGGACAAACGATTTGAATGTGTTGGACTTTATCCCCACGAACCTCTTTTTTTTCCATGGACAACTTTATGATGTTGCTTTGTCAAAATCCAAAATCCAACCAACATCAAAGTGCCGATTCAAGGAAATTCATCTCAACGAAAACTTTTGGGAGATGATCGTCAAATTTCACCAAACGTGAAGATATGAGACATTTTAGATTACATAAATTAAATACAATCTTTTAATCTTAGTATTTTTTTTAATTAAATGTAATGTTTATTAACCCATCATATGACCGGAAATTCCAATAGTTTTCATATATACACAGAGAGAATAGATTGGGTATCATTACCGAACCGTATGTCACACCCGTTGTCAAATGACACGTTATTCTGCTTAACAACCTGAAGTCGATTGGATAACATATCTTTTTTTACCCAAACTAAGGGCATCTTTGTTGATCAAGGGAAGCCAACACAGATGTTGTGATCCACAGTTGTCAAAGGTCAGAGTCGTGTTTGTCATCGACATGATTAACAATGTAGTCTGCTATTGTCGTGCTATTTGTTTCACGGAAACCTGATTGTCGAGGCTTGGGAAAAGTGTGCTTTGAAATATAAACTTCGTTGTGTTTTTAATATTTTATCAAAGTCCTTGACTAAAGTCGATAGCATCTAAATTGGAAGATAATTGTTAAGCTCATCCTCTGAACCGCCTTCATGTAAAGGTCGTATAAATGCAGTTTTACATTCAATTGGACTTTTGCATTCTTGAAGGGACATATTAAATAAATGCACAAGTGGTCTACAAATACCATCTCCAGCAGCCGCGAGAGCAAAATGACAATCTGTTCTGCACTAACGCCGCGTGTTGTTTTCATAACGCGAATTGGATATAACGCGATGGTGAATGTATTAGGGAACATTTTTTTTTTATAACGCGGATGCGAATTAAATATAAGGCGATTGAGTGAACAGAACTACGTCGCGCGAGTAAGCAGCACACAAGGCAGCGCGGGATGCTGCTGGATCCTTCTAGACGCTACAAACGCGCCCCAGTCTTTGTTCAGCCTGCACGCGCCTTAGTCTTTGTGCTATCGCCTACTGTGCTCTACCAAAGAAGATGTGTCTCGCTTTGCATGCAACGATGTTGATTTTAATTACAATGAGTAGCAAGGCTGTGAAGAGTTCTGGTAGTGGTGCTCGTGGAAGTGAACTCAAGAAAAGCTATGACTCTTGAACAAAAACTCGATGTGATAGAATGAACGAAACTAAAGAACACGTGATGACATTATTCGCGCAACGGGACTTACCGAATCCACGCTGCGCATTATTCGTGGCTTTGCAGAAACAAGGAAAAGCTGTAATTTTACTACCCCCTAACCCCTTAATTCCCATTGAATCAAAGGTTGTTATTATAACTACCGCGTTATCGGAGACCATGCTTTATATTTACACTTCGTGAGAGTGCCTCTCAGCGTCCCTGACAGGCGTGGCCTGGATGTGATTTCATCATCAAGTTGGATTTCGATGATTCTCGCACGCAGCGCGTGTCCTGGACAACCCCTTGCAACCGCCGCAGCTTGTTCTAATTTAATTGTCTCTCTCGTTGAGAGACTGCGACCTTCCTTATGAATTGTTCCAGGTAATGTCCGGTTGACTAAGACGTCGCAAATGTGCACCCGAGTGACAAGTTATTTCTGTGTTTGCTATGCGTACTTGTGCGGATGCGGCGACGAGTCCTGGGCCAGAATGAGCTCGGATCTGCTCAGGATTTCGACATTATCGAAAGCCGCCGCCGCCGCCCGTGCATGATCCCTGAATCAACAACGCTCTGCAGAACAAACGCGGCAGTGACGGCAGAAACGGCAGGCGCCGAAGCTTCCAACATCCCCCGCCTGCGGCCCTGGTGCGTGGCCTGTGACCGCGTCGCACACTCGCACCGGAATGCTGACTCAAGACGATGGCTGTGCCCCGGGGCCTCGCGGCTGTCACGCTCGCAGCCTCGCTTTGGTTTCGCCGCTCACCTCCCCCCCCCACACACACCACCCCCACAGCCCTCTCATCAATAGCCAGCAGCGGAGCGCCCGCCTCTCTAATGCCGGGTTCACGCATTCCTCCGCCCTCCCGAGCCGCGAGTTCGCGCGAGTGCCGGTGCGGTGTTTTGACACTCGTTGGCATCATATCGGTGTCATGGAGACAAAGCTATTTGTGGATAGTTCAAAACGAAAAAACCCATGACTAACCCTAGCAGAATTCGTTCTAGTTCCTGTACTACCCAGCCGCATGCGACAAGAGATAAATACATTCCATTTTTGGGATGGAAGAAACAATATATTGTATAGTGCTGAGGTGTGTTCGGGTTTGAATGGACGGAGACGTTGATGTTCAACAACGCAGGTACAAAATCACCGCGTGTATTTAAGTTATTCAATTACACGAAATAGGGGACACTCCAGGCCTTGGGGGACAAGTTTGGATTATGTTTCATTGTAAAATAACGCACGGTATAGCTGAACACGAGTGCAGCACGGCACGACGGGAGAACCCATAACACCTTGCGAACGCACCAGATGAAGTGCACAGTTTGTGCACAGGAGCGTCTTGAATCACCATCATCATTGAGCGATCGCAGTGTGTTCATCTGTGTGTGAACATTTAGTAACCAAGTACACACAAATCCGTTCCAACAATTGGTTCCTTCTTCTTTGACGATGTCCACATTTACACCACCCAGTGCAGGAGATTTCCCCGATTTAATAATTATTCGTCAGAGGATGTGCCCTCCTCGCCCGAGAGCCAAGTTCGTTCCTGTCCTGTGCGATTAGATTTTCAAAAGAAAATAATCTCGCGAGTAGCGTGTCCATCTTTCTCTCCACAAGGGCAACCACTTGTGGGTTGTCATTCCACCTCTCATTGCCACTGCTCGCATGCCACCCATTGCTGTGACATCTTCAACCTTTGTCCGTGTGGGCTTCTCCGATTTATTCTCGTTCCTCTCCTGATCATTGACTCAGACAAATCTGAGTGCATGACACTTTTTTACGTCACTTCAGTGCATTTCACCCTCATGAGGGCCGGCTTTCACGTTGCTCATGAGCTTAAGGTCGCCGACGGTCCGGATTTGACCCAGACAGTCCTGGAATTGTCGTCTGTCTTCGGGTGGCAGGGACCGATTTGTAGCCGGATCTGGTATCGGTATTGCCGTGTTGCACGCTATCACAGGAGACTACCCAGTGTGAACAGACCTTGGCTGACTGAGAAATATGTCCAGGATTGTTTTGTTGGAAAAGGTGGCCACGCCAGGTGAGTTCCTCACCAACACTACGGAAGCGAGCCAAGCGACTCCTCTGCTTCCTATCACTCATAGCGCTCCACTCGTGTGGCTAAAGACAAAGCGCTGCTGTCAACCGCCCATCCGAACATTACAAGGAAACAATAGTTAAACACAATTTGGGTTCATAACGCACACTAAACTAAAACATTTTATTTTATTTTACCAGGTTGGACCCACTGAGCTACATAGCTCTTTTTCAGAAGCGACCTGGCAACAAATGATATCTCAACGAAGTGGAAATTTATAGTCGCAGCCAACTACTCTAAACTATGGGAAGAGAGACATGCAAACTCCAAATATAGAGGCGTCAGGGTCGGGAACGAATCCACGACCTACTGTATACCTAGCGAGGGAGTTAACATCTCCTAGCCACCGTGGCGTTACTCAAATGAATCAGACCTGCTGTTTCGCCACTCTACTTACTCGCTCACCAGCGGTCAGTCGCCTCCTTATCACTCTTCTATCGCTACTTCACTCACTCATTTCAAACTACCCATGTTATCATCACAATGCAGGTTATACAGGCGTCAGGGTCGAACCCACGGCCTCCTGTATATCAGGCGAGGTAGTTAACATCTCCTAGCCACCGTGGCGCCCGATGTGGAGCAGTGGCACAGTGGCCACGCACGTGCGTACATTGAACTTCTTTCGTAGCCAACCGTGCTAATCGGAGGTGCGCCGAGTGGAGTTCCATTCCTGGCCAGGGCTAACATCTGTGGCGAGTGGTAGCCGAGCAGGTCCTGAACCCCCTCTTCTTCCCGAACCCGTACGGAACAGTGTAGCGAGCTTTGGTGAAACAACTCCTAGCGACTGACACAGCATGAGTGGGGTGCCTTCATCCAGCAGCGAATTGATAACCGCATCAACGATGGGACCATTGAACAGCGTTCCTCTGGTGATCGCCGTCCGGCCGGTAATGACGCTGTGAGAGCGGACTTGAGGCTCTACACCGTGGCAGGATTTTTCAGGAATGTTTGCGACCAAAGAGAAAGTCAAGATTCCATTTGAAACGGCAAACTTTATTAAAAACGTGTCATTATTTTGTTCTTCATGACGGCACCTCTATGGTAGCATACCATGAGACATCAGAGATAGATACAATTGCTAATTTGTTGCAAGCTTCGTCACATCACATAACTCTACCACCATAGCGTAACACTGCCATATGTCTGCACACTGCAGAATACCTATAAAATAGCCGTATAAATACTGTAATCAAAAGCATGCAAAGTACCACGGAAATATAATAAGTATATGCTGGGGAGGCGGTCGGATGGCGGGAACGGGAGATCGTCACTCGGCGTGCCGCGATCCCCAGCCCCTTCCGCATAATGCGATGGATCCTCACGATGCTCCAAGAGTCAATCCTCGATTTTTTTCCACCGTGCAAAATGTGGCGCCTAAAGTTTGCTGCAGGGGTCACGTGAACCCACTTCAGGACTGACGCGTGCACGTTTTGATGCGTGCATGCGTCGTTAAGCGAATTTGTCGAATTAAATAATTGGCCAGCGGAACCCCAAAAGGCATTTGTATTGGATCTCTGCAGCTCATTGCAGTGAATCAACACAAAAGTACAGCGGATCACAGTGGCGTAAACTATCGAGCGTGCATGCCGGTGTAACGATACCCAGGAATCGGCTTCTGTGTCCCGGTGGCAGAGGAGTTAATTTGTACTGAGGCCTGGTACCGGGATGGTGTTGAACCTTTTTTATGGTTACAGAATACCGCACAGCTTTGATGGAGCTAGGCTGGCTGAGAAACATGCCCAGCCTTGTTCCGTGGAAAGGTGGCAGGCCTAGCTTATGGGTTTAGAGTGGTTCCAGGCTCGGTGCTATGAAGGAGTCAATTGGGCAGGGGAACACATCTCACTGTCTTGTGTTGGTGCCCGTACCCAACCCGTACCAAGACGCTGACTGGTAACACTCGAATTTACACGAGGACGAATATTTTGGTTGTAAATAGCAGTGCGGTGTTTCTGACGAACATTTTTTGTTACCTCGTATGAAGGAAAAAAACCTCACAAAATTATGAAATTAACGTGTTCTAGATACACAGGGTACATTTGACGACACATTTCACTTTTGATCAAATGTGCCTGCTTCACGGCAGTGGAAAAACCTTACACCTATTTTATTTATCCACTGTTCGTTTGTTGTGTAGATTACCGAGGCAGGAGCCGATGACAGAATCACCCAGGATGCACCCGATCTTGTCCCACTTCGGAAGTTAAGCAGGGCTTGAGCCTGGACGGTACTTGGGCGGGCGACAGCCGTGCATAAAATTGGGTAGGTTGTACAGTACTGTGCTACGTCCCACCGTGTGTGCCGCCACATCTTCGCCGACCTCTACTGCTTGGTGTGGTGAAGATGGTGAAATGTGGCAGAGGGAGGCCCTCGTCCAGAAGTGGACGAGAAAAGGGCTGGTGGACATGTGCGGTGAGCGGCGGCGAGGCCAGTCGGTCTGGTGGTGGTGATGAGGCAGTGGGGCCGCTGTGACGTCGAGAGGCGTGAGGATGCCGGCGCAAACGGAGGAGGAGCGGGGTGCAAACGTTAACGACCACGCACTGTGCGACTTTAAAGGAGACGCGACCCAAATACAAACATCTCATGCGTTAAGGACGCGCCACACGTCAGGGAGTGATGTTGTAGCACCCTCTAGTGGCACCACTGCCCTGCGGTTGGCTGTATCCCTCTGCAATGTGCCGTTGGGATTTTAAAGTCTGCGGAGGTGAGTTTTCCACTTGTCCCGGGTTTGATCCAGACGGACCAGGAAATTGGCATGTGTCTGTCCGGGTGGCACAATTTGATTTGTACCGAGATCTGGTACCGGTATTGTGTTGAACTGTACGACAGGATACTGCACCGTTTCTGATTGAACGAGTTTTGAGAAATGTGTCAGAAACATGTCCGAGTTTTGTGGAAAAGGTGGCGACACTATTCGAGTTCACCTGGTAGATGGTGTACCCACTCACGAAAGTCCAAACTGCTGCACTCCCAGATGATCGACGCTACTTTATCGACCAAATTAAATGCCCCCCCCACATACTTTTGTTTGGCTCGCGTCTTTCTTTAATCGCACTTTTAGCGTCGTCGTTAAAAGGAGGCGAAGGACGCGGCGCACATTTGGTCTGAGATAATCAAATCCTCCGCTCCTGCTGTGGAGAAGCGTCGTTCTGCCTTCACGGTGGCGGCTGCGGCGTGGCACTCCGGCGATGGCCTCGAGCTCAGAACGCGCGAGCCTCCATGTTGGCACGGAGCATGAGCGCCACGGGGACCCACACTCCCGGCGTCTCGGCGATGCGCAGGAACGCCGCCTGCTCGTCCCCGCGAGCGTCATTCCACGGCGCCACTCGCTCGTAACTGAAGCCTGCGGAGCAGTGCACAGGGCAGCGCCACCCGACACGCACAAAGACAAAGATCCCCCGTGTAGCCTTAATAGACTGTTGGGGCAAGTGCCGTTAGCGAGCACCTATGTAGGCCGGGTACGGCACACGAGGGGGTGGGTGACCAACACCACGCCCGGCCGCCTTTGTCTCCCCAGTGGCGATGTTTGCACACCGCACCAGGTATTCATTTGAGGCCGAGTCGACCTAAGGGAGGCCCAGGACCGATTCAGATAATCATCACCGGTGTTGGCCACGAGCGGGAATCGAACTCGGACCACCGGGTTCGTAGCGCAGCGTAGCGCTAACCCGCTACACTACCGCTCCCCACACCAACATCCACACACATACAGACACACGCAGAAGACATGCGCTCATGCACGCCCGTACGCACACACCTGTGCCAGTGCCCAGCCGCACACCACCCAGGAAGTGGTTGCTGGACAGAGACTCGTGGTCCCAGAGCGTGAGCTCCAGGCTGACCTCGGGCAGCTCCTGAACGGGCAGCCCCTCGAAGATGAACGTGTGGTTCCACACTGGGTTGACCGTCTTGCGTACCACAGGGGTCTTCTGCTTCGTCACCTTGTGCTCATCCGGAAGGAGGTATCTGCTCATCGTGTGTGTGCATGTGTGTGCATGTGTGTGTATACGTGCGTGTGTGTATACGTGCGTGTGTGTGTATACGTGCGTGTGTGTATGTGTATACGTGCGTGCATGTGTGTGTATACGTGCGTGTGTGTATACGTGCGTGTGCGTGCATGTGTGTATACGTGCGTGTGTGTATATACGTGTGTGCATGTGTGTGTATACGTGCGTGTGTGTGTGCATGTGTGTGTATATACGTGCATATGCGTGTGCAGGGAGCGATAGTGTAGCGGTTAGCGCGCTGCGCTATGAACCTGGCGACCCGGGTTCGATTCCCACTCACGGCCAACACCAGTGACGATTATCTGAACCGGTCCCGGGCCTCCCCTAGGTCGACTCAGCCTCAAATGAGTACCTGGTGCAGTGTGTAAACATTGCCACTAGGGAGACAAAGGCGGTCGGGCGTGGTGCTGGCCACCCACCCCCTGGTGTACCGTTCCGGCCTTCATAGGTGCTCGCTAACAGCACTTGCCCCTACCGTCTGTTAAGGCTATATGGGGGATCTTTGTCTTTGTAGAATAGCACTTAGCGTGCTGCGCTTCAAACCAGGTGACCTGAGTTCCAATACCAGCGGCGATTATGTTTTTCTTGAAAACGGATTTTAGTGTTTATTATGTTTTCCTTCCCCCACACCTTCGATTAGCACCGTTTGTGTTATGGTCGAAACGTCGTGAGAATTTTTTAATTGTTTTATATTTTTATTATTATTTTATTGTTTTCCTTCAACGTGACTTTACCGAAAGAGCTAAGAATATGGTGCTAAAGAAGTTTAACATAAAGTACATACATGCGAGGGGGTGGGTGGTCAACATCATGCCCAGCCGCCTTTGTTTCCCCAGTGCTGATGCTTAGTACTCACCACACCAGGCACTCAAATAAGCTCGGGACAAATGGTCATTGTTGGTGAGCGAGAGTCGAACTCGCTGCGTTCGTGGCACAGTGGCAGTTAACCAATGCGCCACCGCTCCCCACTCGCACACACAGAGAGACCGTATAAAACTCCACACAGAGAGAGAGAGACCGTATAAAACTCCACACAGAGAGACCATATAAAACTCCACACAGAGAGACCGTATAAAACTCCACACAGAGAGACCATATAAAACTCCACACAGAGAGAGACCGTATAAAACTCCACACACAGAGAGACCGTATAAAACTCCACACACAGAGAGACCGTATAAAACTCCACACACAGAGAGACCGTATAAAACTCCACACAGAGAGACCGTATAAAACTCCACACACAGAGAGACCGTATAAAACTCCACACAGAGAGAGAGAGAGACCGTATAAAACTCCACACAGAGAGAGACCGTATAAAACTCCACACACAGAGAGAGACCGTATAAAACTCCACACACAGAGAGAGACCGTATAAAACTCCACACACAGAGAGAGACCGTATAAAACTCCACACACAGAGAGAGACCGTATAAAACTCCACACACACAGAGAGACCGTATAAAACTCCACACACAGAGAGAGACCGTATAAAACTCCACACACACAGAGAGACCGTATAAAACTCCACACACAGAGAGAGACCGTATAAAACTCCACACACAGAGAGAGACCGTATAAAACTCCACACAGAGAGACCGTATAAAAATCCACACACAGAGAGAGACCGTATAAAACTCCACACACAGAGAGAGAGACCGTATAAAACTCCACACACAGAGAGACCGTATAAAACTCCACACACAGAGAGACCGTATAAAACTCCACACAGAGAGAGACCGTATAAAACTCCACACACAGAGAGACCGTATAAAACTCCACACACAGAGAGACCGTATAAAACTCCACACACAGAGAGACCGTATAAAACTCCACACAGTGAGAGAGAGACCGTATAAAACTCCACACAGAGAGACCATATAAAACTCCACACAGAGAGACCGTATAAAACTCCACACAGAGAGAGAGAGACCGTATAAAACTCCACACAGAGAGACCATATAAAACTCCACACAGAGAGACCGTATAAAACTCCACACAGAGAGACCATATAAAACTCCACACAGAGAGAGACCGTATAAAACTCCACACACAGAGAGACCGTATAAAACTCCACACACAGAGAGACCGTATAAAACTCCACACACAGAGAGACCGTATAAAACTCCACACAGAGAGACCGTATAAAACTCCACACACAGAGAGACCGTATAAAACTCCACACAGAGAGAGAGAGAGACCGTATAAAACTCCACACAGAGAGAGACCGTATAAAACTCCACACACAGAGAGAGACCGTATAAAACTCCACACACAGAGAGAGACCGTATAAAACTCCACACACAGAGAGAGACCGTATAAAACTACACACACAGAGAGAGACCGTATAAAACTCCACACACACAGAGAGACCGTATAAAACTCCACACACAGAGAGAGACCGTATAAAACTCCACACACACAGAGAGACCGTATAAAACTCCACACACAGAGAGAGACCGTATAAAACTCCACACACAGAGAGAGACCGTATAAAACTCCACACAGAGAGACCGTATAAAAATCCACACACAGAGAGAGACCGTATAAAACTCCACACACAGAGAGAGAGACCGTATAAAACTCCACACACAGAGAGACCGTATAAAACTCCACACACAGAGAGACCGTATAAAACTCCACACAGAGAGAGACCGTATAAAACTCCACACACAGAGAGACCGTATAAAACTCCACACACAGAGAGACCGTATAAAACTCCACACACAGAGAGACCGTATAAAACTCCACACAGTGAGACCGTATAAAACTCCACACACAGTGAGACCGTATAAAACTCCACACACAGAGAGACCGTATAAAACTCCACACAGAGAGACCGTATAAAACTCCACACAGTGAGAGAGACCGTATAAAACTCCACACACAGAGAGACTGTATAAAACTCCACACACAGAGAGACCGTATAAAACTCCACACACAGAGAGAGACCGCATAAAACTCCACACACAGAGAGACCGTATAAAACTCCACACACAGAGAGACCGTATAAAACTCCACACAGTGAGAGACCGTATAAAACTCCACACAGAGAGAGACCGTATAAAACTCCACACAGAGAGACCGTATAAAACTCCACACACAGAGAGACCGTATAAAACTCCACACAGAGAGACCGTATAAAACTCCACACACACAGAGAGAGACCTATAAAACTCCACACAGAGAGAGACCGTATAAAACTCCACACACAGAGAGACCGTATAAAACTCCACACAGAGAGAGAGAGACCGTATAAAACTCCACACAGAGAGACCGTATAAAACTCCACACAGAGAGAGAGAGACCGCATAAAACTCCACACACAGAGAGACCATATAAAACTCCACACAGAGAGACCGTATAAAACTCCACACACAGAGAGACCGTATAAAACTCCACACAGAGAGAGACCGTATAAAACTCCACACACAGAGAGACCGTATAAAACTCCACACACAGAGAGACCGTATAAAACTCCACACACAGAGAGACCGTATAAAACTCCACACACAGAGAGAGACCATATAAAACTCCACAGAGAGAGAGACCATATAAAACTCCACACACAGAGAGACCGTATAAAACTCCACACACAGAGAGAGACCATATAAAACTCCACACACAGAGAGAGACCATATAAAACTCCACACACAGAGAGACCGTATAAAACTCCACACACAGAGAGACCGTATAAAACTCCACACAGAGAGAGAGAGACCGTATAAAACTCCACACACAGAGAGACCATATAAAACTCCACACAGAGAGAGACCGTATAAAACTCCACACAGAGAGGCGCCGGCCTCTTGCTGGTGGTGGTGGGAATGGGGGGGGGGCCCCCGCTCTCACCCTTTGACGAAGGGGTTGGAAGTGCGCCCGGCCTTGGCTGCCGTCAGGTTCTTGGCGCCCTTGATGTTGATGTGCAGCTCCCCCGTGGGCAGGGGCCGCCTCTTCCCCTTCCCCTTGCCGTCTGCCGCGCGCGCACAACCACCGGGACGATTGACACGGAGCCGCGACCATTCGCGTGCGAGCGCTGTCCAATAGTCGCGAAATCAAAGCGATGTCCTGCTCAAAATGAGCACTGGGGCGGTGCTCATCGCCTCCTTACGGCCCCGAGGCAGTGGTGGAGGTTTCACATTGCAATGGCAGATGCAATAAGGCATTTACTGTTGAGCTCCTAACAAAGTGGTATTATTTTATAGACCTCGTAGGGATGATGGGGTGCATTAACCCCCAACCAGGATTTGATTTCGCGACCTTCTGATGGAACATCTTTATTTGGAAGGGATTTTCCAGGTGTAAATTTTCCTCGATAAACATTTTGTAAAAACCACTTGCACGCCTCTTCCAAATCCCATGAATGAGGCTCCCAGAATTCTGCTACTATTATCATCAGCCACGATCAATCCACTGCTGTATGAAGGCCTTCTCAAGCCGTCACGATCTCTCACAGGCTGCCTTCACAGCTTCATCTCCGCGACGGAAATTGGCGCAGCTATCCAAGCTCTCACGAACCGAGGCCGAAAACGAACATTATTGAGAAAACTATTTTATAAGTGGCACGACCGGACTAGGCCCCTGGCTCTGGGCTCCTCTCAGACTTCGGGGCGGGCGTGGGGGGCAGCAGATAAATTTACGTGGGGGGGGGGGAGCGGAGCACTGTAATGGTGACGACACCGAGACGGAGGAGGCTGGGCCACAAAGCGGACACACTCGGTGGTGCGAGGCACCGCCAGGCTGGGCCCCGCTGGTGGGCACCATAACTCACTAGGAGACTCACCAGGAGGAGACTCACCGGGAGGAGACTCACCAGGAGGAGACTCACCGGGAGGAGACTCACCGGGAGGAGACTCACCGGGAGGAGACTCACCGGGAGGAGACTCACCAGGAGGAGACTCACCGGGAGGAGACTCACCGGGAGGAGACTCACCAGCAGGAGACTCACCGGGAGGAGACTCACCAGGAGGAGACTCACCAGGAGGAGACTCACCAGGAGGAGACTCACCGGGAGGAGACTCACCGGGAGGAGACTCACCAGCAGGAGACTCACCGGGAGGAGACTCACCAGGAGGAGACTCACCAGGAGGAGACTCACCAGCAGGAGACTCACCAGCAGGAGACTCACCAGGAGGAGACTCACCAGGAGGAGACTCACCGGGAGGAGACTCACCAGGAGGAGACTCACCGGGAGGAGACTCACCAGGAGGAGACTCACCAGGAGGAGACTCACCAGGAGGAGACTCACCAGCAGGAGACTCACCAGCAGGAGACTCACCAGGAGGAGACTCACCAGCAGGAGACTCACCAGGAGGAGACTCACCAGCAGGAGACTCACCAGGAGGAGACTCACCAGGAGGAGACTCACCAGGAGGAGACTCACCAGCAGGAGACTCACCGGGAGGAGACTCACCAGGAGGAGACTCACCAGCAGCAGACTCACCGGGAGGAGACTCACCGGGAGGAGACTCACCAGGAGGAGATTCACCAGGAGGAGACTCACCGAGAGGAGACTCACCAGCAGGAGACTCACCGGGAGGAGACTCACCAGCAGGAGACTCACCGGGAGGAGACTCACCGGGAGGAGACTCACCAGCAGGAGACTCACCAGGAGGAGACTCACCGGGAGGAGACTCACCAGGAGGAGACTCACCAGGAGGAGACTCACCAGGAGGAGACTCACCGGGAGGAGACTCACCAGGAGGAGACTCACCGGGAGGAGACTCACCGGGAGGAGACTCACCAGCAGGAGACTCACCGGGAGGAGACTCACCAGGAGGAGTCACCGGGAGGAGACTCACCAGCAGGAGACTCACCGGGAGGAGACTCACCGGGAGGAGACTCACCCCGGGAGGAGACTCACCAGCAGGAGACTCACCAGCAGGAGACTCACCGGGAGGAGACTCACCGGGAGGAGACTCACCCCGGGAGGAGACTCACCAGCAGGAGACTCACCGGCAGGAGACTCACCGGGAGGAGACTCAACGGGAGGAGACTCACCAGCAGGAGACTCACCGGGAGGAGACTCACCAGCAGGAGACTCACCGGGAGGAGACTCACCAGCAGGAAACTCACCGGGAGGAGACTCACCAAGAGGAGACTCACCAGCAGGAGACTCACCGGGAGGAGACTCACCAAGAGGAGACTCACCAGCAGGAGACTCACCGGGAGGAGACTCGGGCTGGGGCTGCTCGGTGGGGGCGATGTACTTGAGGGCAAGGATGAGCTCGCCCTTGTACTGGGGGCTCGCCTCTGTGATGTTTTCCACCTGGGGCAGATGAACGGGCACAGCCGCTTGCAATGGACGCGAGGATTCAGAATGCTCGCGGGATAACAAAGAGTTCACAGTGGGATGGAGAAAGTGGAGCAGTGCATCAGAATCGAAGTCTTTATTTAGACTGGAGGGGGAATCCGATGAGCTATGAAGCTTTCTTTCTCACAGAATTCCAGTAGGGGCACGATATTGGTGCAAAGTTCAACAGTTCAACAGCGTTGGCTCAAGCAAGGCTGACTCTGCTAATGAGACGATGAATGTCGAAGCCAGAACATAGTTCACCATTTATTATTTATTTAACTTCTCATTTTACCAGGTAAGACCCCACTGAGCTATAAAGCTCTTTTTCAGCAGCCCTGACCTGGCTATCACAAGTTATGGCTCAACGAAGTGGCTTACACCCGAGTACAACGTTTAGGTAAGCAAGTCACTAAAAATAAAGTATATGAGTACAAATTGCAAAAGTACAACAACTCCTGCCGATTCTTCAACACTGAATGCAAGCTTGGGCAAGGAAGCAAAACAACATCAGTCCCAGACCACACCAAGGCCACAGATAGTAGTCCCTCAGTGCACATTGAGAAGGAGAAAGGGGGGTGTTGTAATCGGCAGTGAGTGGGTGAGCCGGTGAGCGAGTGAGTGGGTTGGTGAGTGTCAATGAGACCTGCCGTACTCTGGTTGAACTCACAAGCCGTGAGTTTCTGGGAGACCGATTCCTCAATACGGGTAAAAGAATCAAAGCTATGGAGATCAGTGAAACGGTAACCATGATGGTTGCGGCTATGGAAGAGACGGAGGCGGCTGACCGCCGATGAGCGAGTGAGCGACTGAAGTGAATCGGCAAGCGCAGGTTCATTAATAACTCTGACCCATTAATCAGGACCTCAATAACATCCCTCGTCATCGCTTGAAGTCACGCTGCAAGCCCGTTCGGAGCCATGCGCTTAACTTTGAACAATGCGAATTCAACCCCGATGAAGCCTGAAGAGCTGACTGGAGTTCAAAAGAACTCACAAACGAACACCTTGTGAAAGACCCAACGCAGAAGATCCCTGGGTTTTATCTTCCACGGAGCTCACGGTCCACCCTAAATCGAATCCACACAAACCATGGCAGCAGATGTGGATACCTGATGCACAAATGGAAAATTAAAAACTCTCCAGTAGTGTGCGACTGTGGTCATCCAGAACAGGACCGTACAATGTATAACGAGGCAATTCCTCGATCCACAAATACGAAGGAGACATCACAGGGATACACTCTGCTGCTTCTGACGCGGTTATCTGGCTTGAAGGTGAAATTGTAGTTATTGTTCTGCATCTACATCATCCGTACGAAAGAAAAGAAGAATCATCCCCACTGCTATCCAGTACAGTCAGGTGGGAACTGGGAGCTCCATTCCAGATATGCCAAGGAGGCACACATCCTTCACACCCGCACTCATAGCCAAGCTATGCATATATCACGCTTGTAGCACTGAAATGGTAGGAAACCAACACGTTTCCCTTTCACACGAGTGGCCTATGTCAGTGTGTGGTTTGCACTGCAGCGGGGTGGTTAATTATCCTGAAGAATTTTAGCAGAGCAGTTAGTTAAATAAATTAATGAGCAGCTAAAGGAGTCTCACGCCTGTGGCGGCTGTTGTGGTTGTGTGGTGCTGTGGCCAGAGCTCATCTAAGGCGCGGAGGTTTTCAAGATCGCCCTTCACGGTGGATAAAATGTGTAACGCTTTGTGGGAGGTCAACAGTGGTTGGGTTGGACACGTTACAGCGTGGTGCTTGCGCCAGGCTAGGTGCACTCAGAGGTTATTTTAATGGAATGAGTAACCATGTTGTTTTTGTTGTGCACATATTTTAAAATGACAAAGTGGCTTTGAAATTGATGTGAGATATTGGCAGCTTAAATCTCAGTCAAATGACGACTCAACCCATCATACCTCTGAAGCTGGTAAAATAAGTACCAATTTGTGGGGAAGTCAACCCGCACCTACTGGACATGTGTGAAAGAGAGCTTCATAGCTCATCGGATTTCTCCAGTCGGAATACAGATTCTGATTCTGGCTATCCTTTGGAGAAACTGGCCCCCGCGCAAAGGGAATGCGGAATGTCCACCACTGGCTCTGCAGGGCCGTGAACAACAATCCCGAGGCTGCTGCCTTGGGAACGTGGAATTTCCCGCAGCAAAGGGATTGCGCGTTACCCGGGGCTGCAGCGCACACCAGCGGTCGTCCCCGCGCTCCAGGTCGCAGCAGTCGAGCGGCAGCGACGCTTGGCCCAGAAAGGAGTTGTGGCGGAAACTGTCGTGGTGCCACACGGAGAGGTGGACGCAGCGGACCTCCAGCTGCGTGTGGCTGATCGCATACTGCACATGCACACATGCACACATGAATACATGCACACATGAATACATGCACACATGCACACATGAATACATGCACACATGAATACATGCACACATGCACACATGAATACATGCACGCATGCACGCATGCACACATGCACACATGAATGCATGCACACATGCACACATGAATACATGCACACATGCACACATGAATACATGCACACATGCACGCAAGCACACATGCAAAACGGACTGTTGGGGAAAGTGCTACGAGCGAGTAGCACCTATAGAGGCCGGCACGGCACACAACGGGGTGGGCGGGCAGCACCAGGCCCAGCCGTCTTTGTCTCCCCAGTGGCGATGTTTACACACCACACCAGGTACACATTGAAGGCTGAGTCGACCTAGGGGAGGCCCAGGACCGGTTCAGATAATCGTCACTGGTGTTGGTCGTAAGCGGGAATCGAACCCGGGTCGCCGGGTTCGTAGTGGAGCGCGCTAACCCCTACACTATCGCTTACCGCACACACAAAGACAAAGATCTCCAATTCAGCCTCTAGCAGACTGTTGGGGAAAGTGCTACTAGCGAGTAGCACCTATGAAGGCCGCCACGGCACACGAGGGGGTGGTTGGCCAACACCACGCCCGGCTGCCTTTGTCTCCCGAGTAGCGATGTTTCCACACTGCACCAGGTTCTACATTCGAGCCTAGGTCAACCTAGGGGAGGCCCAGGACCGGTTCAGATAATCCTCACTGGCGTTGGCCGTGAGCGGGAATCGAACCCGGGTCGCCGGGTTCGTAGTGCAGCGCGCTAACCGTTACACTGTCGCTTACTGCACACATGCGCACACACAGACAGGAGTTTGGTTTGTAGTGTACTGTACACACACAGACACATACTACACGTGACAAATGTACACGCGTGCTAATGTCCCTCGCACCTTCAGTGTCTCGTTGAACACAGGGTTGATGGTGTTCTTCTTGATCTTGGTTTTCCGCTTGCCTTGGCGAGACTTGTCAGGCAGGAGGTACACCTTGACGTAACTATCAGGGATAGATCCGCACGGGGTTAGAGGCACCTTCCGAGATGGGCGGTGAGCGTCGGGGTTCAGGCGTCAAGTTGATGAACCCGGTTAGAACTCAACAGAGCCAGAATGAGTCTCATTCGCGACAGTGACCTGGGTTGCCAAAATAACAAAGGCAACAACGTAAAAACAAGTCCGACAATGAACTTAACAGAGATCAGAGCCAAAGGAACTGTGTAGCATAAAAAAATGAAAAGAACCTACCGACGTATATCAACTGAAAACAAAATCACTGAAACAGGAGGTTGCTTGGACAACTGACTTTTACAAAAAAACATTCACAGCCAAACGAAGTGAGAGAGATCACGACATGGATTCCGATGCCGTCCAGTGGCCATCGCGCCGACACGGAACGGAGCCGAATTCCTACAGACGATTGGGCGCAAAAGGAACGCTCGCTAAAAACTCCCACGCGAGGCCTTGCAGGGCGTCCACTCTGGAACACGACCGCGGTGGTTCAAGACAACACGGCCCCCCTTGTCGATCCACCGCTGGATAAAGGCTTCCCCGACGCCGCGTCGGTCACGGGGTCGGTGAAGCTGCGGCTCCACGCCGGTTGGTGTACTGCGGTGAAGGGGGTAGGGCTGGGTAGGCGTGCAGTGATTCACCGCTGGAAATTTGAAATTCCGGGTGGCCGTTCAATTCAGGAATTAGTTCCTTTTTGACCTCATGGTTCGCAGCCTTGAACCCATCGCGTCTCGCGCTTCTCTTTTGTTAATTCTGTTGCGGGACGATCGTCAGGCACAATCCAAATGCATTTAGCAAGAACTTAAAGGCTTGATCTTAATCGATGCATCATTACACCCCCGAATGTTGTTCGTCTGTACAATTTAATCCCGAATGTGTGACGTCTGGGCCATACTGTAGGGACAGCAATTTACAAAAAAAGACTAAGACAAAGATCCCCGTATATAGCTTTAACAGACATTTGAGGCAAGTGCTGTTCGTGAGTAGTACCTATGGAGGACGGCACGGCACACGAGGGGGTGGGTGGCCAGCACCACGCCCGGCTGCCTTTGTCTCCCCATTGGCGATGTTTACACACCGCACCGGGTACTCAGTTGAGGCTGTGTCGACCTAGGGGAGGCCCGGGACCGGGTCAGATAATCGTCACTGGTGCTGGCCGTGAGCAGTAATGAAACCCAGGTCGCCAGGTTCGTAGTGCAGTGCCGCTAATCGCTACACTACCGCTCCCCGCAGCACTTTACCACCCACCGTGCCACATTCCTCTCGCGACAGTCGAACCCAAATGTAATTCTCAGAGCTGCAATTGAGCCAAATTCATTGAAGGACCAAAGTGTAATTTAACTGGGTGACCATGCTGAGACATTAACACATCAGAACCCCCAACGGTAGGGCATTCACCACTTGTTGCAGAGGTTTGCTCTTGGCATCCGGCAGGCCGCCCTGGTTAATGCTGCGATGAGTATATTAACTATAATATACTCCACGGCATCCACTTCACAATAGACGTTAACGATCCCCCGGCGTAATTCAAAGAAGAGTCGGTCATCGTGTGCCATCGTCATTGTACAAATTTGCAAAATAAAAAAAGGTAACTCAATTAACAGTCTTGCAACTCAAATAATGCTCTCCTGGATAAACAAGCAGAATAATAACAAAAACAACAACAAATAATACAAATAAAAGAGCACTTGAGTCATGCAGGAAATTAAACTGTCATCTTTTGTGCAACTGCCAGTAAATTGGCAAAGGCTGACCAGCTCCCTGATGCATCAGCTGCACAAAAAAACTGCGCTCACGCCAACGCAAACATATCACACATAAGACAGATTGCTTTGCTGGGTAAACATGCACAATGACAACGACAATTACAGTAATTATCACGGGCGGCTGAAACCCAGATTCAAGGCAGCGGCGCTGGCTCGGCGCCCCATCCTTGCTCGACTTGAGTCGTCGCGTGCCCGTCACTCGGCGGAGCGAGCAAACGTGTGGGCGGGCGTTTGCGCGTGTGAGTAAGCGTGTGAGTAAGCGTGTGAGGGTAAGCGTGTGTGAGTAAGCGTGTGAGAGTAAGCGTGTGAGTAAGTGTGTGAGGGTAAGCGTGTGTGAGTAAGCGTGTGAGAGTAAGCGGGTGTGTGAGTAAGCGTGAGAGTAAGCGTGTGTGAGAGTAAGCGTGTGTGAGAGTAAGCGTGTGAGCGTAAGCGTGTGAGAGTAAGCGTGTGAGAGTAAGCGTGTGTGAGTAAGTGTGTGAGAGTAAGCGTGAGGGTAAGCGTGTGAGAGTAAGCGTGTGAGCGTAAGTGTGAGAGTAAGCGTGTGAGAGTAAGTGTTTGACAGTAAGCGTGTGAGTAAGCGTGTGAGAGTAAGTGTGTGTGTGAGTAAGTGTGTGAGATTAAGCGTGTGAGAGTAAGCGTGTGTGTGAGTAAGTGTGTGAGAGTAAGCGTGTGAGAGTAAGCGTGTGAGAGTAAGCGTGTGAGAGTAAGCGTGTGAGCGTAAGTGTGAGGGTAAGTGTGTGTGAGTAAGCGTGTGAGAGTAAGCGTGTGTGAGAGTAAGCGTGTGTGAGTAAGCGTGTGAGAGTAAGCGTGTGAGCGTAAGCGTGTGAGAGTAAGCGTGTGTGAGAGTAAGCGTGTGAGCGTAAGCGTGTGTGAGAGTAAGCGTGTGAGGGTAAGCGTGTGAGAGTAGGCGTGTGTGAGTAAGCGTATGTGTGAGTAAGTGTGTGAGAGTAAGCGTGTGAGAGTAAGTGTGAGAGTAGGCGTGTGAGAGTAAGCGTGTGAGAGTAAGCGTGTGTGAGTAAGCGTGTGAGAGTAAGCGTGTGAGAGTAAGTGTGTGAAAGTAAGCGTGTGTGAGAGTAAGCGTGAGAGTAAGCGTGTGTGAGAGTAAGCGTGTGTGAGAGTAAGTGTGAGAGTAAGCGTGTGAGAGTAAGCGTGTGAGAGTAAGCGTGAGTGAGAGTAAGCGTGTGAGCGTAAGTGTGTGAGAGTAAGCGTGTGAGAGTAAGCGTGTGAGAGTAAGCGTGAGAGTAAGCGTGTGTGAGAGTAAGTGTGTGTGAGAGTAAGCGTGTGTGAGAGTAAGCGTGTGTGAGAGTAAGTGTGAGAGTAAGCGTGTGTGAGAGTAAGCGTGTGAGTAAGTGTGAGAGTAAGTGTGTGTGAGAGTAAGTGTGTGTGAGAGTAAGCGTGTGAAAGTAAGCGTGTGTGAGAGTAAGCGTGTGTGAGAGTAAGCGTGTGTGAGAGTAAGTGTGAGAGTAAGTGTGAGAGTAAGCGTGTGTGAGAGTAAGTGTGAGAGTAAGCGTGAGAGTAAGCGTGTGTGAGAGTAAGTGTGTGTGAGAGTAAGCGTGTGTGAGAGTAAGCGTGTGTGAGAGTAAGTGTGAGAGTAAGCGTGTGTGAGAGTAAGTGTGAGGGTAAGTGTGAGAGTAAGCGTGTGAGTAAGTGTGAGAGTAAGTGTGTGTGAGAGTAAGTGTGAGAGTAAGTGTGTGAGAGTAAGTGTGTGTGAGAGTAAGCGTGTGAAAGTAAGCGTGTGTGAGAGTAAGCGTGTGTGAGAGTAAGCGTGTGTGAGAGTAAGTGTGAGAGTAAGCGTGTGTGAGAGTAAGTGTGAGAGTAAGTGTGAGAGTAAGCGTGTGAGAGTAAGCGTGTGAGAGTAAGCGTGTGAGAGTAAGCGTGTGTGAGTAAGTGTGAGAGTAAGCGTGTGAGAGTAAGTGTGAGTGTAAGTGTGAGGGCAAGTGTGAGAGTAAGCGTGTGAGAGTAAGCGTGTGAGCGTAAGCGTGTGAGAGTAAGTGTGAGAGTAAGTGTGAGAGTAAGCGTGTGTGAGGGTAAGTGTGTGTGAGACTAAGTGTGAGAGTAAGCGTGTGAGAGTAAGCGTACGAGCGGGGGCACTCACGGGTCACAGCGCTTGGTGCGCTCCTCCCCGTACGCCAGGTTGCGGCACTGGCGCAGGGTGAGCGAGAGAACGCCCACGCGGTAGTCGTACGACACCGAGAAGTTGATGTCGCCGGAGACGCGAGCCGCTCCGCCGCTCCTGGGAGGGGCGTCCGTGTCGCTGCACAGGCTGCTGCTGCTGCACAGGCTCGCCTAGAGGGGACGGGCCGTGGTCACGCGCCGGGGCGGGTGGAGGTCCGGCGCTCACTCCTCGACAGCTACCACCACGGTTACCGTTCCCGTGACGTTCGCTCACTGCCTCCTCTGCCCATGTCGAGGGCTTGGTCTACCAGACACCAGCTGCGTCATCTCGTCCACTACACGTTGTTCGACCAGCAACCACACTGCAGGTCAAAACGCAACCATACTGCTCCGCTTTGTAATATTCGCTCCCAGCATCTCATTAACCCAACCTTGCTCGATACAAGAAACGTGTTACACTCTTATCGATTACAAATCTCACGACAGTGCCGTTTGTTGCTGGCCGTTTGATGTTTTGAGGTGGTGCTGCCCTTTTCCAGATTCATGGGCATGGACGAGGCTGGAACATTTTTTCCAATGTTCTTATTCAAGATAAACTATATTTTTAACACTTGGCGACATGGGCAGTCTGAGCCCCGGACTGTCCCAGCTTTACAGGGAAAATTGATATTCTGTAACAAACAAAAAACACACATCCCCCATATAGCCTTCTGGGTCAAGTGCTGTTAGCGAGTCTACTCAGAGCTGATGTTTACTTATTTCACCGGAGACTTATTTAAGGCCGAGTCGACCTAGGGGAAGCGAAGGACTGGTTCAGATATGAATTGTTACTTGTGTTCTGCATGGCTGAGAATTGAACCTCGGTGGCCGCTCCCCAAACACGCTGTAGCTGTCCACATAGCAGATGCCACACTCTGTTGTTACTATACGTTCTATACTAAAACTATAACTAAACCTATTTTTTATTTTACCAGGTAAGGCCCACTGAGCTATGTAGCTCTTTTTCAGAAGCGACCTGGTTATCACAAACGAAAGTTCAACGAAGTGGCTTATCACGTGGACATTTATAGCAGCCAAATACTCTAAACGCGTGTGTCTAAATGCGGAGGGAAAAGCCGGAGGACTCGGAGATAAATCCACGTGGCCACGGGGAGAGAGACACGCAAACTCCAATTATACAGCTCGCGTCAAGGTCGGGATGGAACCCACGACCTCCTGTAGACCAGGCGAGAGTGCTGAGCCGGCACTGCTGAGATCCTGGGGTTGTATAATAAGCAGTCACCTGCGATTAAACTGGGTTTTCAAGTCGAGACAGTTGATGGTCTTATTCTGGTCACCAATGGCTCTTGTGGGAAAATACACATCACGTTCAGTTTGTTTCTTCACTCAATTTTACTAAATTGTAGTTCTGAGAATTTAAAAAAACGTAAGTTTGACTGTCACGCACTGAACATTACTCGCAGTTGCAGAGCAAATGACATCCGGCCGGGTGGCCCAGCCGCAGTGAGCGGCTCCAGATCAGAATGTTGTGAGTTAAAATCCTGGGACGTAGTCGATTCAATTGATAATCCCTCCGAGGGTCAATAGAACGAGCACCGCTTAGTGGGGAAGCCAACAGTGGTTGGGTTAGTGATGGGTCCGGTGCGGTACGTATCGAGCCGTACTGAACCCGGCCCCGGGGGAAGGGGGGCGGGGGATTTCCCGCCCGCCCGCCACCTGCCCTTGGCACCAGAGCCGACCTCACGACGTCGCCACGTTAACTCACGGAGTCGCCATCATGGTCAGGGAGGGTCAAGCGCTTCATCCGTTCGGGGGTGAGCTGCGCGGAGATGGAGCCAGGGTAGCGTGGGAGACACACGGGGCCGCTCACGTCACACACGGGCAGGGACAGCAAGGCATGCGTTCGTGGCTCGCTGCTCACGGCACGCGGCTCGTGGCACGCGGCAGCCACCCAAGCTACGGCACAAACAGCAAAGGCGTTAGTGCCAAGCAGGACGGTAAGGCGGAAGGAGCACGGGGTCACAGTCATTTATTATATTCTTAGCTCTTTCGGTAAAGTCACCTGATGACGACCGTTTGTGTTATGGTCGAAACGTCGTGAGAATTTTTATTGTTTTATATAGATTTTATTATTTTTTTGTTTCCCTTCAACGTGACTTTACCGAAAGCGCTAAGAATATGAATTACTGTAGTCATGAAAGCTTTAAATCAAAATTTAAGTCATTTATTAGTCACGCACACACACGTTAGACGCAGTCTCGATGACTTCGTTATCGGCTGTCGTGTAGGGGTTAGTGTGCATGTACAAGCCACCCTTTGTCAATCTGCTGCTGGATGATGGCCCATGCCTGCAGCTTACGGGGGTTATGTGACCATACTTCACCACGCTGGTCGATGAGGGTTGGTAAAGACAGGGAGCGTCCGTGTGTAACACAGACACGCAATAAATATTGCTGCACTGTTCCCAGCTAGCGACCACATTGTATGTATCCATAATAGAGGTTTTTTTGGGTTAAATCGCGTAAATATAGATGTGTGGTAAAGCCCGCCAACTACTCGATATAGCCAATTAGTAAGGTTTGTCCTGTAAACAAAACGTGCCAATTAGTTACCACTTCAGCAGACCCACATTTACAATTTGAGTACGTTGTATGTTGAACTTCTTTTGCACCGTACGTAGCCAACCATGATAATCAGAGGTGCCGTGCAGCTGCCTATAGCAACTCGTTTGTGCCCGCCAACTGGCCACCCAAAGCACTATCCAGGGGCGAACCTGCTTTACTTCTGAGATCTTATTAAATCGAGTCTGTCGTGGGTGATTTGCCTAGGGACCTGGGAATGTGTGAATGTACAAGTCCTCATCTGGCTGCCCACGCTCAGCGGCAGCTTCTACGCCGCAGAAACCTCGCGATCATTCCATCTCAGTTGACGTGGTTGGTGTTCTGAGAAGGGCCGGTATGGTGTGCCGGAGCATCCCCAGAAACTAACTAAACTAAAAAATAGTTTTGCCAGGTAAGGCCCACTGAGCTATGTGTAGCTCTTTTTCAGAAGCGACCTGGCCACAAACGACAGCTCAATGAAATGGCTCATCACGTGGACATTTATTGCAACCAAATACTCTAATCACGTGATGTTTATTCTAAATGTGGAGGGAAAAACTGGAGGACCCGGAGACAAATCCACGCGACCATGGGGAGAACTTGCAAACTCCAAATATACAGGCGTTAGGGTCAGGATCGAAACCCACGACCACCTGTGTGCCAGGCGAGGTAGTTAACATTTCCTAGTCACCGTGGCAGCACCACCGGTGGGGCGTGGCGAAGCCGTGCGTCCCAGGCTTCTGGCCCACGCCTTCAGCTTCTTGAGTCAAAGAATAAAGTATCATGTTTAGCACCAAGCACGAGACCACGGCACAGCGGCTCCGTCACTGCATCAGCATACAGAATGTCATCTTAACGATGTCACTCGTGCGCTGTAATGAATCGTCTGACTTAAAATTTATATCTGTCTATTCTCGTTAACGAAGCCTAAAATTCACGTGAAACCAAACAAAGACAAACTCTGGTCGCCGGGTTAGTAGTTCAGCGCGTTAACCGCTACGCTACCGATCCACGTGACCTCCACACACACACCACGTAACTGGTATTGGCCAAAACGTCCCAGTGTTGAAAATGTTCGTGCAAATTACCCAATGGGGATGACCACACGACAGCAACATCCTCATCACCCACGACTGTGGAAACTTAGGAGTACCCTCCTGGGAAATGAGTGTTGAAGTTCAACGAGGCTTTCCTGGTTAACCAAGCGGCGTGATGATGACCGGGGAGTGGGCGGGGGGGGAGTGACGGTGCAGCGAAGGGGCGCCGCACCTGGTTGGCGGTGCTGAGCAGGCTGCTGGTGTTACTCAGCGTCTGGTTGGGAGACACCAGGGGGTCTTCCGTACAATCAGACTGCGCACACACACACACACAAAGACAAAGATCCCCCACTCCCGTATAGCCTTCACAGAATGTTGGGGCAAGTGCTGCTAGCGAGTACCTACAGTGAGGGAAAAAGGTATTTGATCCCCTGCTGATCTTGTACGTTTGCCCACTGACAAAGAAATTATCAGTCTACAATTTTAATGGTAGGTTTATTTGAACAGTGAGAGACAGAATAACAACAACAAAATCCAGAAAAACGCATGTCAAAAATATTATAAATTGATTTGCATTTTAATGAGGGACATAAGTATTTGACCCCCTCTCAATCAGAAAGATTTCTGGCTCCCAGGTATCTTTTATACAGGTAACAAGCTGAGATTAGGAGCACACTCTTAAAGGGAGTGCTCCAAATCTCAGCTTGTTACCTGTACAAAAAACACCTGTCCACAGAAGCAATCAAACTCTCCACCATGGCCAAGACCAAAGAGCTCTCCAAGGATGTCAGGGACAAAATTGTAGACCTATACAAGGTTGGAATGGGCTACAAGACCATTGCCAAGCAGCTTGGTGAGAAGGTGACAACAGTTGGTGCGATTATTCGCAAATAGAAGAAACACAAAATAACTGTCAATCTCCCTCAGCCTGGGGCTCCATGCAAGATCTCACCTCGTGGAGTTGCAATGATCATGAGAACGGTGAGGAATCAGCCCAGAACTACACGGGAGGATCTCAAGGCAGCTGGGACCATAGTCACCAAGAAAACAAATGGTAACACACTACGCCGTGAAGGACTGAAATCCTGCAGCGCCCGCAAGGTCCCCCTGCTCAAGAAAGCACATATACATGCCCGTCTGAAGTTTGCCAATGAACATCTGAATGATTCAGAGGACAACTGGGTGAAAGTGTTGTGGTCAGATGAGACCAAAATGGGGCTCTTTGGCATGAACTCAACTCGCCGTGTTTAGAGGAGGAGGAATGCTGCCTATGACCCCAAGAACACCAAACCCACCATCAAACATGGAGGTGGAAACATTATGCTTTGGGGGTGTTTTTCTGCTAAGAGGACAGGACAACTTCACCGCATCAAAGGGACGATGGACGGGGCCATGTACCGTCAAATCTTGGGTGAGAACCTCCTTCCCTCAGCCAGGGCATTGAAAATGGGTCGTGGATGGGTATTCCAGCATGACAATGACCCAAAACACACGGCCAAGTCAACAAAGGAGTGACTCAAGAAGAAGCACATTAAGGTCCTGGAGTGGCCTAGCCAGTCTCCAGACCTTAATCCCATAGAAAATCTGTGGAGGGAGCTGAAGGTTCGAGTTGCCAAACGTCAGCCTCTAAACCTTAATGACTTGGAGAAGATCTGCAAAGAGGAGTGGGACAAAATCCCTCCTGAGATGTGTGCAAACCTGGTGGCCAACTACAAGAAACGTCTGACCTCTGTGATTGCCAACAAGGGTTTTGCCACCAAGTACTAAGTCATGTTTTGCAGAGGGGTCAAATACTTATTTCCCTCATTAAAATGCAAATCAATTTATAACATTTTTGACATGCGTTTTTCTGTATTTTTTTGTTGTTATTCTGTCTCTCACTGTTCAAATAAACCTACCATTAAAATTATAGACTGATCATTTCTTTGTCAGTTGGCAAACGTACAAAATCAGCAGGGGATCAAATACTTTTTCCCCTCACTGTATAAAGGCCGGCACGCACCAACACACAGACACACACCAACAAACCTACTACAGCCTTTACACACCAAGGTCCATTTGGCCAAATTCCAGCTCTGTCACGCAAAGCCGTCCCGTAGGTTTACGGCGAACCGGGGACGGCGGGGGGCACGCTTCGACATCACGGTTGTCAGATGTAATGTTTGAAGGTGTCGGAGGGGGGCCCACACGGTGTGTGAGCTGCCCCGGGCCCCGCATGCGATGGACATCTCTCTCAGTGGCAGTGTGGGGGTGGCAAGGTGCTGCCGTCTACTGTGTAGACCAGAGGTTACGTGCAGGGCTCTCAAGAGAGAAGGCTCTGTGCTTTCCGCCGCTTGCTATGGGGCCGTGTTCTCACACACGAGTTGCACTGCTCGGCGAAAGAACCAAATTCAGGCTTCGCCCGAAGGACGCTGATAGCACATATGGGATGAGATTGCGTGAGAAAAAACACGTTACAATTAAAATAATAATCGCCTTGTTCTAGCTTTAGGGCCTTCGCTCTATAAAAACTGTGTAGTTTGCTGAAATTAAGTTCAGCACAATACCAGTATCGGAACTTGGCACAAATCGATTCCTGCCATCCTGTATGCAGGCGGTGGAACTCCACCAGGGCCCCCGGGTGGGCAGGGGGGATGGGCTCAGGCCCGAGGCTATAAAAATGACGGCAGGCAGACACGGTGCGCACCAGGACACGCGGCCCATGCGGAGCACCCCAGGGCCCAGACTGAGCTCACCGACCTTGTGCTCGGGAGTGCCGATGCTGGGGATGGAGCGGGCGGGGGAGGCTGGGACAGGAGATGCTCCGGCTGGCGCGTCAGAGCTGCCCCATGACACTGACGGGCGGCCACAAGCACACACGGGGTGGGGGGGGGGTGCTCGTCACCCGACGCGTATGGGGCACGGGGCCGGCTTACAGAGTAGGGAGATGCCCAGCCTCACAGACGTCCCGGGTCTCACACATACAGGCAGGTTTTCCCGTCATTTTAGTCAGTGGAGGCCGGTGAAGGTCAGGAGAACAGACATTGGATGCACTTATGCGATTTGTACTGTATACTTTATTTTTATTTAGTGACTTACTTTGCTTTGCTATACTTTGCACTCCTATCGGTTTTTATATTGTTTGTTGTCAACCTTCTCTAATGAAAAAGCTTCATAGCTCATCGAATTCTTCCAGTCTAAATACATATTCTGATTCTGATGGATCATAGTACAGTACAACAATGTGCACGACTATGCTGTACTTTGTTCTGGTGACCATGTCAGCCTTGCAGATTCTCACGACACCCTTTCGGCGTCGGTGTGCACGGTGGTCACCTATCCCAGCACTGTCCCGGCTCAGCCCTGCCGAGCATCCGATGAGATCTCACGAGATTGGCGCATTCCAGAGTGACGGTGGCCACCACCCATAACTCACATCGTGGCCACACGGTGAAGTAAAAATATTGGGCTGGTTTATCCAATGACAGAGAAACAAATGACAAAAAGACGAATGCGAAACGTAAAACAATCGTGCTTATAATAAAATAGGAATCATTCTCAAGAAGCGAGTGTGTGTAAAAGAGGGAGGCTTTAGATTTGTTTTCAACATATGCGGTGCTGGTGAACGCAGTGTTCACAAGTCTCCGATTAATTAGCAACCCAAAAACGTTTATTATGAATAATATTGGTCGCGAAACTAATTAGCATGGTTGGCTACGTCCGGTGCGAAAGAAGTTCTACATACATCAACATACAAGTCGTCCATGGCGAGTGAGTGCTACGACCGGCTATCCTCCCCCACTGGAGACCCCAAACCCGGACAGATCCCTCAGCCAGTCTAGGTCTGTTCTCAGAATCAGAATGACTTTATTTATCCTGGAGAAATCTGATGAGCTACGAAGCTCTTTTGCACAGATGTCCAGTAGGGGCATGGGGTCAGAAAGTTACAACAAACAATACAAAAAAAAACGATAGGAGTGCAAAGTATAGGAAAGGTAAGAAAATCACTGAAAATAAATATATCAACACTGGGTAGTCTATAAAGTTCAACACAACGATCCCGGTATCACCTCCGGTTAGCACAGTTGGCTACGTACGGTGTGAAAGAAGTTCAAAGTACATACGTACGCATGTTGGAGAGTCTGCAGCACCTGACCGGTTAACCATAACCTGGGGCAAAGCCCTGGGTAGGGACTTAAGTAGGGAACTCAATACGCTTGGCCAGCTCATCGTAAGCTGAGACCCAGCCCTGGACAATGAGCGACCGGCAAGGAACGTGGACCAGGGTATAGCAGAGGAGGGCAAGAGAGAGGAGAGGGGAGTTCTGGACGCGGCATGGTGAAGCGTGGTGTGCTACCTGCCGTGTGGTTCATCTCGTAAGAACACCTTGCTGAGCACGGTCTGAGCTGAACCCTTTCAGATCTCGCCACCGATCGGTTCCTGCCACCCAAGCATGGACGTCGACTGCCGGAGTGCCAGGGTCTAGCCCGGCGAGGTGGCGACCATACCGGCGCTCTTTCGCCAACGGCGGCAGTGGCCGAATCGCGAGTGAGAGAGAGCGGGCGAGGTGGTGGCCTCACCGGTGGAGGGAGAGGAGACGGACGCCGACGGGGGGTGAGGGCTCTCGCTGCTCGACTTTCCACCCACCCTGCTCCCCTGCGGGGATCGCGTCGGGGTCTCCTGCGAGCACAACACGACCGCGTGGTGCTCCGTTACTCAAGCGGCGCTCCGTTACTCAAGTGGCGCCTCGTTACTCAAGCGGCATCCTGTTACTCAAGCGGCGCTCCGCTACTCAAGCGGCGCTCCATTACTCGAGCGGCGCTCCGTTACTCGAGCGGCGCTCCGTTACTCGAGCGGCGCTCCGTTACTCAAGCGGCGCTCCGTTACTCGAGCGGCGCTCCGTTACTCGAGCGGCGCTCCGTTACTCAAGCGGCGCTCCGTTACTCGAGCGGCGCTCCGTTACTCAAGCGGCGCTCCGTTACTCGAGCGGCGCTCCGTTACTCGAGCGGCGCTCCGTTACTCAAGCGGCGCTCCGTTACTCGAGCGGCGCTCCGTTACTCAAGCGGCGCTCCGTTACTCAAGCGGCGCTCCGTTACTCAAGCGGCGCTCCGTTACTCAAGCGGCGCTCCATTACTCAAGCGGCACCTCGTTACTCAAGCGGCGCTCCATTACTCAAGCGACGCCCCGTTACTCAAGCGGCACCTCGTTACTCAAGCGGCGCTCCATCACTCAAGTGGCGCTCCATTACTCGAGTGGCGCTCCATTACTCGAGTGGCGCTCCGCTATGCGAGCGGCGCACGATCGCACAAGGAGGGGTCCCAGAGTGGGCTGTGCATTCATCAACATCTACCACCGGAGCCCCTTGATTATTCGATGCGGCGTCGTGATTCGGAGTCGCGATTCGAAGGGGACACTTGTAAATACGAGTGCGTGTATTTTGAGGTTGCGATGAGTGATTGTTAGACCCTGCAATGCGTTTAACACAATGCCACTTTCTCTGAGACGCGTTACGCGCAACGAGAAAGGTCCCGCGGTCGATTACTTTGGGCTCTTTTAAAATGGAGGCCGCCCTGACACCCTGCCTCCTGAAGATGGGAAACCCCCCCAACAAGCGCCAAGTGGCCGATGATTCCAATGATGTCCCCAAGCCCCGCCCATCGCCCTCTCTTCCAAGCGGCACACGTGGGAGCAGAGTGTTATCCGCCGAGTCGAGCGATGGAAGAGACAATCGGCAGAGTAAAATCGACGGTTTAGGAAGTGGGATGGCAGGCCGCCTTGAGGGCTGCGCACCACCCCAGCACGGGGGCCCGAACTCGCACCTTCCCTCGCGCGGGGCCCTCCATCTTGGGCCCGGGCGACCTGTTAGGCGGCGACAGCGTGGAAGTCGTCGCCAGGCGACTGGCGGGGGGCGACGGAAACCCAGAGGACGATGGAGATGAGGAGGACACGCGGTTCCCATTGGAGTCGGTGCGTGAGCCGTCGCGCCTATACGGAACGCAGCACATGACCACCGCACGTGTCACCAGAGTTGCCGCGCATGTGACCACGGTAGCCGCGTGTGTTACCGAGCGTATCTCTCTCCCTGTGTTTACGTGGATTTTTCTCCAGGTCCTCCGACTTTTCCCTCCCTATTAGAATCACACGTTCAGAGTATTTGGCTGCTATAAATTTCCACGTGATAAGCCACTTGGTTGAGCTATTATTTGTGGCCAGGTCGCTTCTGAAAAAGAGCTATAAAGCTCAGTGGACCTTACCTGGTCAAATAAAAATAGTTTAGCTCGTTCACCCCGCCCTGCCCAGCATCACGCCGGCTCTCGCCCACTCGCTCACCTGCGCGGCGGGGAACCTCGGCTCCCCAACGAGATGCCGTCCGGAGGGGGTAGCAGGGAGCCGGCCGACGGCACCGACCCGCCGGGGGTTGGGGGGGCGGCGGAGGCAATGCCCACTGCGGCGGTGGCGACGATGACGTTGCCCCTGCCGCCGGGCGCCGCGTCGCTGGGATTAGCCGAGGGGCTGTGTTCGGCGCGGGACGCGGTGCCGCCGATGAACGGCGGCACCGCCTTGCCCACGGAGTCCGCTTTGGGGTTGCTTCTGCCAGGGGAGAGAGACGAGCGGCCGCTGCGGGGCGGTACTACACAGCGATTCACGGCGATGGCTCTGTGAATATTTTTGAGCGACGGTCAGAAGGTGGACCACTGCCCAACGACCTGCAACAGCCCAGAGGGTGAATGTGGAGGACCGGTGCAGACTATGATGCTTATTGAGGAGGAGCGTGATTTCAGACTGAAGGTCTCATGCTATGGCCTGGCTGGTCCGAATGTACACTATATAGAAGGACTATGACATCTATTCCCCACGGTGAATATTCCACACTTCCATTGCAGAGCCCAGCCTCTCCATACAACACGGATGTCCAGCTTTCAGCACAGTGAAAACACCATCACAGCCAGAATCGATGGCTTAAGTTTGTGGGTCTCACTCACATAGGACTGCTGCGATGTAATTTCTCACTATACGATGTTACATTTCGCGATAAGACGATTATCATGATATCAGTTCCCTTTAACTTTGTAATGTCACATTTTTCTTGCATCGTTTTTGTGCTTTGCTGGACTTATAAAGAGGGAAGAAGTATAAATCAGGAAGAGATAAACGTTCCTCACCTGCCGTTCACACAACAGAAGCCAACCAAGAGTCAGATAATAGATGTAACCTTATGATCCTAAATGCTTACAGGACAGAACCTATCAGTTGCTCAAGATGGAATTAAGCAAATTAAGTATGGAATTTATGTCATATAACCATCATGCAGTTACTCTGAAAATGTTTTATAACACATTCATTGTACGGGTAATAACTATTTGAGAATTTTCAATGATTATTGTGAACTTTAATCCATAATAGATTTTTTTTTGGGTTAGATCGAGTAAATATAAATGTGTCGTTAACCCACCACCACCCGACAGATCCAATTAGTAAGGTTTGTCAGGTAAACCAAACGTGCCGATACAATAAGACTTCTTCACAATTATGGCAAATCGCCTGACGAGTCTAGTTATTGTTGTTGTAGCCACCAGTGAAACGTCACGCTACTCACATTGTAAATGTTGTAGTGGGTTTACTCTCCAACACACCAGGTTGCTGAAGGAGTCACTAATTGGCACGTTTTGTTTACGTCACAAACCTTACTGGTGGTGGGCTTAATGACACATTTATATTTACGTGATCTGACCCAGAAAAACCTTTGTTATGGATGATATTGGTCGTGAAAGCCTACTACGTGTTAAACTGAACTTTAAAATCTTTGTTATTGCAGACATGTTTTTCTCTGAAATTAAATATTCACGAAAAGTGAAACCAGCAACGAGGATCATGATCTGACATCATGATCCTGCTCATGACGACGAGCAGTGCGAGCCTTGTACGGTGCGGGGGACCGCGGACTCAGCCTCCCAGCCGCATGACATGAGGAGACACGGAACTCAGCCTCCCAGCCACGTGACATGAGGGGACCGCGGACTCAGCCTCCCAGCCACGTGACACGAGGAGACACGGAACTCAGCCTCCCAGCCACGTGACACGAGGGGACACGGAACTCAGCCTCCCAGCCACGTGACACGAGGAGACACGGAACTCAGCCTCCCAGCCACGTGACATGAGGGGACCGCGGACTCAGCCTCCCAGCCACGTGACACGAGGAGACACGGAACTCAGCCTCCCAGCCGCATGACACGAGGGGACTCGGAACTCAGCCTCCCAGCCACGTGACACGAGGGGACACGGAACTCAGCCTCCCAGCCACGTGACACGAGGGGACACGGAACTCAGCCTCCCAGCCACATGACACGAGGGGACACGGAACTCAGCCTCCCAGCCACGTGACACGAGGAGACACGGAACTCAGCCTCCCAACCACGTGACACGAGGAGACACGGAACTCAGCCTCCCAGCCGTGTGACACGAGGGGACACGGAACTCAGCCTCCCAGCCACGTGACACGAGGGGACACGGAACTCAGCCTCCCAGCCACGTGACACGAGGGGACACGGAACTCAGCCTCCCAGCCGTGTGACACGAGGAGACACGGAACTCAGCCTCCCAGCCACGTGACACGAGGGGACACGGAACTCAGCCTCCCAGCCACGTGACACGAGGGGACACGGAACTCAGCCTCCCAGCCGTGTGACATGAGGGGACACGGAACTCAGCCTCCCAGCCACGTGACATGAGGGGACTCGGAACTCAGCCTCCCAGCCGTGTGACACGAGGAGACACGGGACTCAGCCTCCCAGCCACGTGACACGAGGGGACACGGCGAGGGGACACGGCGAGGCCCACGCAGGCCCACGCACCTCTCCTTGGCGGCATGAGCGTCGTGGTGCAGCACGCCGTGGGTGGCCTCGTCTCCCCGCTTGTTCCGTGACTTGGACGGCTTCCTGCTCGGCGGCGCGCACAGTAGAACACGCGGACTCATGACACAAGTGCCAGCACACGAGCTTGCCACAACATTACCACGTGAAAAATATATACATAAATAAATAACTAATTGTGCTTTGCTGGCTGGTGCACCGGCGGGCAAGTGTGTGCGTACGCGTTGGTGCGTGCGGTGACGTCACCCGCATCCCACATCGATGAGCCGGGTTCACGCATCACGACCCACATTATGAATCGCGGTGGATTTTAAGGTCAGCGTCGTACACAATGCTGGCCATTGCCCGATGATGCTGCTTGTTACTACCAACGAAACGTCCACACCCAATCATTAAATGTTCTGGATCTCTCTCCAACAACTCACCGGTGGTGCTGAAGCAGCAATGAATTGGCACGCTTGTTCATCACGTGACACCTCTATTAATTGGCTGTGTTGGATGGAGGGGGGCATGCGACACACATTTTATTCATGCTATCTGACCAAAAAATGTTTTATGAGTCATTGGGATTGTTTGACCATACTTCACCATGTTGATTGGTGATAGGGGGTACCCAGAACCGGTTCAGATATCACTCATCACTGCTATTTTGGCCGTGGCTAGGAATCACGCTCAGGTCACTTTGTTAGCAGCCTAAAAACATTTTTTATTTTACCAGGTAAGGCCTACTGAGCTATACAGCTTTTTTTCAGAAGCAACTTAGCCACAAATGATAGCTCAATGAATCGGCTTATCACGTGGAAATTTATAGCAGGAAAATACTCTAAAAGTGTGATGTTTATTCTAAACGTGGAAGGAACAACCAGAGGACCCAGAGAAAAATCCACGCGACCACAAGGAGAGACACGCAAACTCCAAATATACAGCAGCAGGCGTCAGGGTTGGGATCGAACCCACAACCTCCTGCATACCAGGCGAGGGAGTTACCATCTAGCCACTGTCGCGTAGGGAGAGGCGGGGTTGCAGCAGTGGCGGTGGTGGTGAGGAAGCGGAGTCACCTGCTGAGCCCGTAGCTTTTGGTGTTGTCGGCCGGCTTCTTGGAGGCGGAGCGCGTGGCCGTGGGGGTGCCGGCCCCGAGGCCGTTGTTGGGCTTGGCGAGCTGCTCCGGGGCGCGAGCGTGCGACTCCAGGAAGATGTCCCCCGCAGCCTCGCGCTTTTTCTCTGCCACCGCCGCCGCCATCACGAGGTAGCCAGTGGGTTGCGCGGGGGCGAGAGGACAAGCAACGTGCACGCAGAACGAAATACCACGGTGATCGGCGGCGCAGCTATCGAGTGCAGCAGGCGGCCCACGGGCCGGAAGGGGCCAGGTGGGACCCAGGCTGCTGGCCTGCAAGGCACTCAATGGGTTAGCCCCACAATCTTTACAGGAACCTGTTCGTGTTTACTCTCCCAACGAGGTCCCTTAGAGCTCTAGATTTCCTTCTCTTCTAAGGCACTCCGAGGTCAAGGGTCTGTTCCTGCAGGGGTGATCGCGCTTCTGCCACTGTGCAGATCCCAAACTTTGGACCTACGCTTTGCCCTTTGCTAATAAGACAATCAGAGTCGTCGGATATATATTTAGTTTGTCTTGAAAACTCACCTCTTAAACTGGCCTTTATCCCCTAGTTCTGGCCGTTAACTCTACAGGTTGTGTTTATTTATGGCTTTCAATACACGGGGTGCAGTGGGATGTATGTATGAAATGCGCGTTAAATATGTTAATTATTATTTCCTTCCTTGTACCAGGGCCCGTGCCACTGGAAGTGAGGTTCATCAGCTCCACCTGCGTGCAATTTGTGCGATGGCTTCGTGATTATCGCGCTGGAATTCCAATTCGCCACTTCTCCGTGCAAGCGCAGGTGACGGAATGGCAACCAAATGGGAGAACGCGGTGTGCAGGGGGGAGACCACTGCGGAGATGGAGCGCTGAAATCGCCCGCCGGTGTGTGTGCCATCGCAGGACCGTGGGGGGAAATGACAGCGTAGAGATGGACAAAGGCTTTTGATGACCATAATGAAAATAACGATAATGGTTTTTTGTAAAAATCAATGAAGCGGTTAAATATTATTTACCGTTTAAAAAAAAGGCACAGCACTCAATAAAAAGTAATACATTGTAGATGTATCAATCCTATTTAGACACAACTGCCACGGTGGCTAGGAGATGTTAACTGCCTCGCCTGGTATACACGAGGTCGTGGGTTCGATCCCGACCCTGACGCTTGCTGTAGATTTGGAGTTTGCGTGTGTCTCTCCCTGTGGTCGCGTGGATTTTTCTCCGGGTCCTCCAGTTTTTGCCTCCACATTTAGAATCAGCATCACCACGCGTTTAAATAGTATTTGGCTACTGGCTGTAAATGTTCACGTGATGATAAGCCACTTCGTTTAGCTATTATTTGTGATCGCCAGGTTGCTTCTGAAAAAAGAGCGATATAGTTCGGTGGGCCTTACCTGGTAACATGAAAACATAAAAAAAAAATATATATTTTAACTGAATTTTAGGACTCCCGAACAAAATAGTTTGGAGAAGATGAGTGACACCAGGGCGCATACCAACAGCTGCCGCTTTCACTGAACGCGTTATAGTGGGAGCAGCCGCGATCCAATGTGGCCGTTGTAAAGTGAAAGCCAGCCAATGAACAGTTACAGAATGAACATTTCCTGTCTTATGAAGTAGGGTGAGGCATTGGGAATGTCCTGAATTGGGCCATTTGGCCGGTGTCTGAACGTTGAGTGTCTCCCATCGGAGAGGAAACAGCGGTCCCGGATAAAACCCATGCAGGAGACCTCACCTTAGCTGAGCGTGAGACAATATTATATCATATGGCGTGATGCTATGATGGTAAGATGCTGCGATGGTGTGATGCTGTGATGGTGTGATGCTGTGATGATGTGATTCTGTCATGCTGTGATGGTATGCTGTTGTGATGGTATGATGCTGTGATGGTGCGATGCTGTGATGGTGCAATGCTGTGATGGTGCGATGCTGTGATGCTGTGAAGCAGTGATGGTATGATGCTGTGATGATGTGATGATGTGATGCTGTGATGGTGCGATGCTGTGATGGTGCGATGCTGTGAAGCAGTGAATGTGCGATGCTGTGATGGTGTGATTCTGTCATGGTGCGAGGGTGTGATGGGGAGATGCTGTGATGATGTTATGGTATGATGCTGTAACGGTGCAATGCTGCGATGCTGTGATGCTGTGAGTCTCACTCTGCCGGCGTCTCAGCGATGCCGTGACGATGTCGCTCCCATCGCTCGCTGCGCAAGAGAAGCGCTCGGCACGAGCCTGGCGGAACCACTCCCCCGAGGCGGTGCGGATCTCCCTGCACGCCACACCATCTCATCGTGCGTCAAATCGTCACTTGTCACATCGTGCGTCAAATCATCTCATCACTCATCACTCATCATCTCATCGCATGTCGCATCATCTCATCACACATCACATCACGCGTCACATAATCTCATCACACGTCACGCATCACGTGTCCCATCATCACATCGCACAATGCGTCACATCACACATCACATAGCATACGCATCCCATCGCACATCATTCATTTGCGGAATGAGACACTGGGAAACCAAATTGAGCTCATTCAACGCGAACCACTGATCGATGTGCTATGTGCGGTGCCCTGCGAGGCTACAATGTGCGTGTTCCTATAGCTGTCTGGGTAATTACGCACCACCGTGCCCTACATTCAAATTACCCGGATCGTGCCCGATCATGTCGCACCTCAGATACTAAGCGAGGTTGAGCCTGGTTCGTATATGGATGGGCGACCCCGCATCTACGATTAGCACGGTTGGCTATGTACGGTGTGATAGAAGGTCAACGTACAAACATAGTGTATATCAGGCGTTATAGGCTTGGGGTGGGCAATGGCCAGGGGATGGCAGTAAAGTCATGGGTTCAGGATTCCAAATAATTGAATGGATTGGATCCAAGGATTATGTGTGCATATCAGTGTTATCTCCGGGTTCTCCGGTTTAGATTGTAAACTCCTTTCTTTAGAACTACTCTTTGTGTTTTGTTTACAAACCTGTCAACCCCTTATCAGTGCCCTACCTTATTACACACTAATTCAGACCTTATTGGTCACCTCGTGCCATTATAAATCTCAACGTTTATCCTACAAAGTCCCATCACGAGGGAGAAACACAAACAAATAGACAGCCGAATTGAAACGGCTGCACACCGTATGGACCTGAAAGCTCAATTTCCCTGTACAAGAATACGGGTAAACCATACGGGTTGACAGGCATGAGTTTGTTGTCCTTCCCCCGCACCTCCCGGTTAGCGCGGTTGACATCGAACGGTACGGAAAGAAGCTCGATGTACAGACATGCTACCATAAAAAAAACACCTGCTGACATTCCGCATCGTTGTGGAGAATAAAGCTACTTAGATTCTCCACTGCAACGCTAATCATTATTTTGAAAAATCCAGAAAAACGCATGTAAAAAATGTTATAAATTGATTTGCATTTTAATGAGGGAAATAAGTATTTGACCCCTCTGCAAAACATGACTTAGTACTTGGTGGCAAAACCCTTGTTGGCAATCACAGAGGTCAGACGTTTCTTGTAGTTGGCCACCAGGTTTACACACATCTCAGGAGGGATTTTGTCCCACTCCTCTTTGCAGATCTTATCTAAGTCATTAAGGTTTCGAGGCTGACGTTTGGCAACTCGAACCTTCAGCTCCCTCCACAGATTTTCTATGGGATTAAGGTCTGGAGACTGGCTAGGCCACTCCAGGACCTTAATGTGCTTCTTCTTGAGCCACTCCTTTGTTGCCTTGGCCATGTGTTTTGGGTCATTGTCATGCTGGAATACCCATCCACGACCCATTTTCAATGCCCTGGCTGAGGTAAGGAGGTTCTCACCCAAGATTTTACGGTACATGGCCCCATCCATTGTCCCTTTGATGCTGTGAAGTTGTCCTGTCCCCTTAGCAGAAAAACACCCCCAAAGCATAATGTTTCCACCTCCATTTTTGACGGTGGGGATGGTGTTCTTGGGGTCATAGGCAGCGAGTTGAGTTGATGCCAAAGAGCTCCATTTTGGTCTCATCTAACCACAACACTTTCACCCAGTTGTCCTCTGAATCATTCAGATGTTCATTGGCAAACTTCAGACGGGCATGTATATGTGCTTTCTTGAGCAGGGGGACCTTGCGGGCGTTGCAGGATTTCAGTCCTTCACGGCGTAGTGTGTTACCAATTGTTTTCTTGGTGACTGTGGTCTCAGCTGCCTTGAGATCATTGACAAGATCCTCCCGTGTAGTTCTGGGCTGATTCCTCACCGTTCTCATGATCATTGCAACTCCACGAGGTGAGATCTTGCATGGAGCCCCAGGCTGAGGGAGATTGACAGTTATTTTGTGTTTCTTCCATTTGCGAATAATCGCACCAACTGTTGTCACCTTCTCACCAAGCTGCTTGGCAATGGTCGTGTAGCCCATTCCAGCCTTGTGTAGGTCTACAATCTTGTCCCTGACATCCTTGGAGAGCTCTTTGGTCTTGGCCATGGTGGAGAGTTTGGAATCTGATTGATTGATTGATTGCTTCTGTGGACAGATGTCTTTTATACAGGTAACAAGCTGAGATTAGGAGCACTCCCTTTAAGAGTGTGCTCCTAATCTCAGCTCGTTACCTGTATAAAAGACAACTGGGAGCCAGAAATCTTTTTGATTGAGAGGTGGTCAATTACTTATTTCCCTCATTAAAATGCAAATCAATTTATAACATTTTTGACATGCGTTTTTCTGGATTTTGTTGTTATTCTGTCTCTCACTGTTCAAATAAACCTACCATTAAAATTATAGACTGATCATTTCTTTGTCAGTGGGCAAACGTACAAAATCAGCAGGGGATCAAATACTTTTTTCCCTCACCGTAGCTTTGTATGAAATTAGGACAAATATCTGACAAAGAGGGCCCTTGCTTAGAATGATAATCTTTATTTACACTGGAGGGATCCGATGAGCTATAAAGCTCTACTTCACCGATGTCCAGTAGGGGCATGGGATTTGAAAGTTATAACAAATACAAAAACACGATAGGAGTGCAAAGTTCAACAGCATTGGCTCAAGCAAGCCTGACTATGCTAATGGAATCCTGAATGTCAAAAACAGACCAGAGTTGACTATTTATGACTTTTCCCATTGTAATATTACCCGGCAAGGCACCAATGAGCTATATGGGAATTTTTCCGAAGCGACCTGGCCACAAATGATAACTCAACGAAGTGGCTTATCACGTGGACATTTATAGCAGCCAAATACTTGCTTGTTTTGACCCAATGCTGCCATTTAATTATGCACTCCCAGAAGGCCGTTTGCCAAATGGGATGTTCGAAAATAAATATTTTTGTATTTTTCACGCGGAGCGACAAACTATGGGAATGAGGGAGTATTGTCTGCTTATTGTGTTCCTTAGTCATGCAGTTGGCCAAACAACCCAAACCCGATCCAGGGTCCTCTTGGGGAGACTCAGAGAGGCTCTCCCTAGGGGTCGTCATTTTTTGTGGACTTTTCAGATTGAACGGGTGGTTTGACTGGCAAATGCCTGCAGGTGGGTATCATGTACGTTTCGTTTTTCTCTCGCTGTGTTACGTTGGAGGCGTCCACACTGACAGATGAGTTTCTGAAAGGAAAATGAAAATATAAAAATGAATAAAATGGAAGCTAAGTCTTCTTCACAATGCGCACCACGTCCATCGTTGCACGCCACGTGGTACCAGGCCCTAGGCTCCGTGGCCCAACCACACCGCCGGCACCCCTGGCTGACCCTCACCGCACACTGCACGTTCCCAGCAGAGTCCTACTGTATAAGAGTCTCGCACTCGGCCAGGTTCTCTTGGGTAAGAAGTGTTCTAACTCAATTATATATTTTTGCCTATTACGAGTCTAATGCTTGACGAAGGCCTCCTCGCGCCAAGTCGGTGGGTCGTGGGGGAGTTGTTTGGCCATACTTCACCGTGCTGGTCACTGCTCATTTCGGATGTAGTGTGCAGCCCGGAGACCAGTTCAGATACCACTCACCATTGACGATGGCTGTGGCCGAGAATCAAACTCAAGCAGTCGTGTTAATAGGCACAGTGTGATAACCAGTGCACCACCTATAATAATAACAACCTACAATCACGTATTATTGTCATTGACACATGGTTACACGCCCAGGCCAGCACACTATGTCAGGGGCATGCTTGTGATCCAGCGGGTTTGTGGAATCGCGTCGACTATTTGTCAAAATGCCAAACCCTGGTGTGGTGAGGCGGTACGGTAAAATGGGTTCAAAACACTTCCTTTAAAAAAATCAACTGGGAAAACATCCCAACGTAGAACAACAAGATGTTGAGACTCAGCGAGGGCTGCCCTGGACAAAACAGAAGATCACGTTTGTTATTTACGAGAATGTACAGGGGCATGCAGAGCGCACACCGCCCTCAAACAGCGCGTCTCCTGCTCCTCGCCCGTCCAGCAGGAACCGCACGTGACAGAGATCACCGCTCCGGGTTGTCGGCGTCACCATCGCAAAGATAAGAAAATCTCTCTCTCAATGTCCGTGCAGCGGAGGCCACTGCACGGGTACCCGAGGATCTCCCTACCCCCCCCCCCGTCACGGCCAGCGTGGTGAAGTGTGCCGGCGGGATTGCGAGGAGTGGATCGTCAGAGCGAGAGTTAAGGACTAACAGAATGAATTGGCAATTTTGTAATGGGATATTGTTTAGGCTGGCGGATGGAGAGGCAAAAGCAGGCAGGCATGATGAGAGGCGCTTGAGAACTTGCATCCCTTGTTCATGATTATTGTTGTTGTTATTCCACTTGTTTATGGTTATTGTTGCTGTTATTCCACTGTTTACCCAGGAGAGCCAGGATTTTTCAGGAGGGCCCTGCCAAGTTTTTCACAGAACCAGGGGGAGTGAGGGGGGGGGGTGTTGATGCTGCTGCTGTCATCTCCACTGAGTCATTTGCAGCATAACTTTTCTAAATTGGGATGTTTGGCCAATACCGCGGTTACACTCTATGGGTTGAGTTTGTGTTTAGCTGTGCGAGTGAAACTGGAGAACCCGGAGGAAACCCATGCAGAACAGGGGGAGACAATCACTCATGTCGGGAATCAAACCCAGGTCCTTCTTGCTCTGAGGAACTGTGTGGTATAGTGCCACCTGAATGGGAAAACAGTGGAAATTTTGCCAATTTGCCACCAAATCTTGATAGTAGCACCTTACCGGCTGCCCGTGAACTGGCCCTCTGGTCGGTAACACTATTGTCGCTCCACGTTCCTTGCGAGAAAACCTAACCTCTTCACAATTCC